CGTAGATTAATCAACTGCACATATCAACGTGTACTTTTTGTGAAATATTGTCCATCCTGGACAAGCCTAAGTGTTTGAGATCATGGAACCTAAAGTGAGTGCCAAGGAGATGCACATTTTTTTGGGTCTGGCAGGACAGCCTTTCAGCAATTTGTAAACTTTCCCGTGGCAGCTCGGCCGGGTGGCTGGGATGGTAATGTCCTTTGAATAAATATCTATTACTGTGCTCACACACTGTGGGGATTTTTGAGCCTTTATCACATTTGATCCTTGCAGTCCCCTGGGATGGGGTTGGACAAGTGTTCTCCTCTCTGTGGTTGAGGTGAGGCAGCCTCTGGAAGTTCCTGTTCTGGCCTGTGCTCCGTACTCCAATCTGCACAGCACTGAACATCCATATTTTTTTCGGTGGTGCCTGGACTGTGTCTTAGTCGTCACCTGGGGTGAAGCCTGTCTTGGAGCAGCCACTCCCATACTCCTATGGAAGAGGTGTGAGTGCAGCCAGTCAGGGACAGATGTGAGGGCTCCTGTGCATGCTGCTAGTCCAGTGCTTTGCCCTCTCTAGCCAAACCTGACTTTTCCATAGAGTCTTTCAGGCCTGGCTGAACCCATTGTCACCAATCCTGTCTCTGAAATCCTTTTTCTCCCTGATTATATACTTACTGAAGATAATTAGGAAAATATAAAACAAAGAAGAAAATAAAAATGACCAAAATTACCTATTTTTCACTACCTATAGAGATCACCTACCTCTGTTAACAGTTTATTAGACTCTTTCCAGGTGTATTTATTAATTATAAAACCATGTAAAGAGATTATATACTTTTTTAAAACTTAACATTTCATCATAAAAATTGTTCATGTAATTTAAATATTCTCCAAAAATACCACTTCTATGACTATAATATCTTATTCTATGGTTATATTGTTATTTTCAAAAACCTGTTTTGGGACATTGAAGTTGTTACCAGTTTTCTCTATTATAAATAATATTACATTGAACTTTTTTTTAATCCTCACTTGAGGATATGCTTATTGATTTTAGAGAGAGACGGAGACTTGGTGGGGGGAGAGAGAGAAAGAGACACCGATGTGAGAGAGAACATGGATTGGTTGCCTTCTGTACGTGCCCCAATCAGGCAGGGGTCGAACCTGCAACTTAGGTATGTGCCCTGACTGGGAACTGAACTTGAAACCTTTTGGTATATGGGACAACACTCCAACCAACTGAGCCATACTGGCCAGGGCTACATTTAACATTATGATGACATCCTTTGGATAGATTCCTAAGAGGGAAGTTGGTAGATTTAAGAACTTTGAGAGGTGCTTCCAAAAGCATTACCAGGTTGCTTTTCAGAAAGGATGGCACGCTTTACACTATAGATGTGAGGGTGGCTGTACCCTTGCCAGTACTGGATATTACCATGAAAAAAGCCTTTGCAAATTTGGCAGTAAAATGGTATGATGTTTAAACTTCCCTTCCCATTTTTTTTTTGGATATAAAAATTTGGGTTTCACGTCTGTGAAAAGAGTTTTGCTGTTTGCTAGAGTTTTGTTATGGGCAAACACAGTGTGATGTTATAGTAGATGATCTCATCAGGAAGGGTAAGACCTTTGTGCTATTTTAAACTTACATTAAATTCTACTCAGGTAGGTTAAGGACACAAAACAGTCTAATAATATACTTTTAAATAAAATTACAGGATTTTATGGCCAAGGACTGCACCTGTTTTCCCCCCCACTATCCTAACCCTTCCTCATAGGGGCATCTTGGACTGTCAGTGGAGGAATGCCCTAGGGCCAGGAGAGGGAATGGATTCAGCAACCCCCTGCTTAAAGAGCTAGCTGTATGCCACCTTGTTCAGTCACTTCTCTTCATTTTGAGATTAAACTTTTCCCTAGCCTTGTAACCAGGGGCGGTGACATAAAATTCATCCCCTACTGTTTCACCTGATGGTTGGCTGATGCTCGGCACTGACTGTTGGTGCCTCTGTTGCCTGTACTTCACTCCTTCCCTCTACAGATTTGACAGTGTTCTGCTTCTGGCCAAGGCCTGAGCCCTTTCAGAGTCACATGCAGCAGCTGTGAACAGTGTCTGGACTCGTAAGCTGGTTGCTTCTGAAGCTTGAGAGAAAGGAAGAATCCTTTTAGTAGGTTGCCGTTATCTAAAGGTAAGTCAGTTTTGTGTTCTTCAAAGGGAGCCTCTTCAGTTGAAAGGTTGGGACTGGCTGGAGGGGAGTCCATTTACCATGCTGGGTAGAGGGAGCAAGACAGAACATCTGCATCTTTCGGGCTAGTCTCGATTAGCTTGTTCTAGTCACATGCACCTTCAAGTGTCCCTTTGTGCAGCAGGTGTGGGCGCTCCAGGGTGCATGCTGGGAGTGCGCACCATCTGTGGCATGGCCCGGGGAGCAGTGTGCAGGGTTCCTGGGGTCCTGGTGGGCACTGTTCTTTCCTCTGTGCTTAGGTGAGTGAGTCCCTGCACTCCAGGCACAGATGATGGGGAGCTCTGCTTGAGCAGTTGTCTCTCCCCTCCTGGCCATACAGTGTACCACACTCTGCATTGCAGGTGCAAACCACCTTCTTTGTGGCTGGCGGTGCCACAGGTGCCAAAGATTTGGAGATGGAGTGTTCAGAGGATCAGTGGTGGGAGGGCCGGCTGGTGGCCACACAGGTGGTCTGACCAGCAGGGGCTGGGCATTTTCTTCAGGGGAATGCCTTGTGCAGGGTCCCTTGCTGGGTTGGGTGGGAGGTTCCCAGAGGAGTTACTTGCTAACGATATTATCATATAGGTTTCTGGAGCATTTGCTCAGTGCACTTTGGGTGATTGAAAAACACACCTGTGTTCTTTTCCTGTTTGCCGTTGGCTGATGTGTGTAGGGCTGACAGACGCATGTTTAATTTGACCTTGCTGGATTTGGCTTGTACCTTCAGCAGAATAATAAAATGGCAGAATGCTTTTCTAGTAGGGACAGAGGGCCTTTTCTCACCTAATGTGTGCATGATTTCAAGGGCAGAGGTAGTGTTTACAGTTGAATGGCTCGATTGAACATTTGTTTCTCTGCTGCTTCAGCTATTAAGATAAATATTGCATTCTTACAGAACTTAGTTTTCATCCTATTGGTGTTTAAATATAAGATTCAAAATCTTTTACTTCTAAACTAGAGTTTGGGATTAAATTTTTTTTTGTCTGAAAAGTAATAAACAGTTATAAGTACACAATTTATGTAGTAAATTTAGTCCAGAGAAATCATGATGTTTTAAAGTTGGACATTAAATGGAGTGGGAGTGCCCTGGCCGGTGTGGCTCAGTTGATTGGGTTTCATCCGGTGCACTGAAGAGTTGCCGGTTCAATTCCCAGTCAGGGCACATGCTCAGGTTGCTGGCGTGATCCCCATTGGGGGCATGCAGGAGGCAGCCTATTGATGTTGTGCTCTCACATGGATGTTTCTCTTTCCTTCTCCCTTCTCTCTCTAAAAATCAATAAAAAAAATCTTAAAAAAAAATAAAATGGAGTGGGAGCATTAGTTATTTACTCTTAGTGCTTTACTTTGTAATGTGAATCCTTCCTCTTTTACTGTTATAACCTGGTTTACATGTTAGATTTTAAAAATTGGGGCACATTTATATGCCTAAGGGAATAGCTCCCATTCTGACATCTGCCATGGAGCAGGCTGTGCCCACTGGACCCACCTGAGAGGCAGCCGCCTGCAGCAACTGCTGTCCACAGTGTATTTGGAAGGATCTGAGCAGAAGTGTTGTCTCCTGTGTTTATTTTTTATTATTTTATTTTAAATATTTTTGTTGATTTCAGAGAGAGGAAGGGAGAGGGAGAGGGAGAGAGAGAGAAACATCAATGATGAGAGAGAGTCATTGATAGGCTGCCTCCTGCAGGCCTCCTGCTGGGGATCGAGCCCAAAACCCGGGCATGTGCCTTGACCAGGAATAGAGCTGTGATCTCCTGGATCCTAGGTTGATGCTCAACCACTGAGCCACGCTGGCCGGGCTGTCACGTGGTTTTGAGGAAGATTTTGCTATAAGGGTTTTTTTTGTCTGCCACTCCTAGTTGTGTCTTCTCAGTTCTTGTCCAGTCATACCCCTGAAAGGCTGACCTTGGAAGGTCAGTTTGCCCTTCTCTAAAACAATTATTTGCCCACCTCTTAGGTTTTGAAGAGGGTTAAATTAGATGCTGTGTATGCACACCAGCTGGGAGAGGTCCAGTCAACTGTCATAGCAAATGCTCAATAAATGGCAGCTATTCTAAAGTAAGATATCTATTTGTGAAGTGCCCACCCAGCCTGGTGGTGTGGACACACGACTCCTGCCCTCTGGGGACTTGGAGAACCATGGAGAAGATAGACTATGTGTACAGGAAGAAGCCAGAAAATAAGAGCAGGCATTTTATAATCAGGTCTCTGGTTAAGAGTTGGGAACCACCCTTCCAGCTCTTAGGAAAGGCTTTGCACTTGGAGAGTGAGGCTGTTGGGCCTAAAGCACAGGGAGCTTGGATGGCTTCCCTTGTTCCCTCCTGTCCCTTTTCCTCTGCTCCGCATTCTTACAGAGCGCTGTGATGTCCAGGCACTGCCTCTGTCCCCACACAGTTGCTGCACGGGGTGATGGCCTCACTGGGAAGGTATAAAGCGCTGGGGAGCTAGGAGGACTTCCCGGTGTACTCTGGTCAATCAAGGGAGAGATTGACTTTGGGCTTAGATTTGGTGAAAGAACAGCATTTTGCCAGGTGGACAAGCAGGGAGAGGGTGTACTCTCTTGGTGACTTCCAGGGAGCTGTGTGTACTAGGGTCTAGAAGGCAAATTCTAGAACTTTAAATTTCTGTGTATAATGTGTACAATGCATTGTTACTGTAATACATGTATGTAATTTATAAATAAATATACACAACCCATGTGCGTGTGCTCAGACTTTTTGCTCATAGGAGTAGGTGCTTAAAAAAATTGCGGGACCACTGTGGCAGTGGGAACACTTGACCAGAACAGGGGTGAGAGGGAGCAGCCCTAAGGGTGAGTAGAGGTCTGATTTTTTTCGTGGGTCTAAGTGATGCATATAGTTCCTGAAATTTAGAACTCTAACTGTGCCTACTGCAGGGGTGAGCATGATGAAGAAAACCCTGAATTATCTGTAGGTGTTTAAGTGCTACCAACTCAAAATCTGTATCTCATATTTTGCCACTTTGCTGCTCTGACTTTCTCAGACTCCTTTTTCTGAGTTCACAGGCTGTTAGACCATGGCTAAGGTGAATTCTGACACAGTTGTGGGGAGGGATTTGACACTCTGGGTTAGGTAATGTGAAATGCTAATAGGACTGCTTTACTGACCCAGAAAAGGAACTATGAAGAAATTGAGATTATTTATTCATGCTCTGAACAGGGGCACAGTTATAGGAGCCACACCCATCTATAAAAATGGTGAAGTTCAATTAATATGCTGAGGGGCCTGCAGGGATAAGAAAAGATGGTTCTTCTGCCTTCACAGAATGTACTTTGTAGCCAGACTTTTGATTGTCAGACACACAGCTCTGTGCTAGTCTGCAGGGGGGTAGGAGGGAGCTCAGTGCTGATGGTGTTGGAGGAAGGGGCTCTCACTGGGCATGCAGAAGGGTGAGAGGGTTCAAGACAGGATTTGTGAAAAAAGTGGCAGTTGGCAAATGTCTTGGATGATAGGTGGGCAAAGAGGAGGGCTTGCTGAAAGTGTGAATAAAGGCGTGGGGAACACGGGTGTGTTTGGTGAACACTGGTGTATTGGAGGTGCTGTCATGGCTAGAGCTGAATAAATGTTAGCTGGAGGCATCATGCGTATTGGCCTTTTTGCATCATGGCCTTGGATTAGGATAGGCAGGACTCCTTCCGTTGTGGAGTGTTTCCTCCCTTCTTTGCTGAAAACCAAATCAATAGCCAGTGACGGTGAGGAAAAACAAGCCCGTTGGGACACCTGCCTTCTATCTATTTTCATATATAGTTTTTTGCACCGGAGACTTTGTCTAGACCGCAGTTCTTTAATATTCAATATTTGTTCACATTTCACAAAATTCTTAAATTTCATACCCCATGCAGTTCACCCCAGGAAGCCAGGTTTATTTTACATGGTAATAACAATGCCTTCTGTTTGCAAAACATTTGTAACTTTTCGAAGTTCTTCACAGACAACATCTAATAATGAAACATACATAGAAATTTAATCGATGAACTCGTTCCTTATTCTCTAATGTGGCTATTAGCTGAATGTGGAATTCAGGTCAGAGTTTATTTTATTTTATTTTATTTTAAAAAATATGTTTTTATTGATTTCAGAGAGAAGGAAGGAGGGGAGGAGAGAGAGAGAAGGAAACGTCAATGCTGAGAGAGAGACCATTGATTGGCTGCCTCCTGGAGGCCCCCAACCGGGCATGTGCTCTGACTGGGAATCGAACCTCGATGTCCTGGATCATAGGTCGATGCTCAACTGCTGAGCCACACCGGTTGGGCCAGATCAGAGTTTATTTTAATGTGCAAAACCTAATTGGAAAGAGATAGTCTGTTGTCCATGCCATAGAGCAGGATATTTTCTGAAGGTTGCTGGGAGCAAGGCTCTGCAGCTTGCTGGCCAGCCAGGCACCCAGTTGACATAATTTTGAGAGGTTAAGATAAAGCACTAAAAATCTGTTCAGTCTTTTCCAGGGTAGACTGTGCAGAACGCATATGTCACCGAAGTGAGATGTGAGGGCAGGCTGGGGTGGATGCGGGAGCCTGCTTTCACTTCTTTTTCCTTGTTAATGGCAGGTTTGGTGGTGAGCTGTTTGTGGCAATTAAAAATCATTGTAGGTTCTGGCAGAGCTCAACTACGGCCTTTTGGTAAGGGTGGAGCAGGTGCTTCACACACCCTCTTTCTGCCTGCTTCGGGTCCTGTGTACTTGGGGCCTGTGCTCTTTTTTCCTCAAGCTGGTTTGGCTTCTGTCATGGTATGAGTTTGTTCAGCTGTGGGTGCAAGTTACCGTGAGTTCTGTCTCCCTGCTTTCAGCAGAATAGGTTCATTCCGAGTGGGGTTACATAACACCTGGCTGCCGCCTCAGCCCCCGGTGGGCGTCTGGCCACCTTGCCAGGCGGCACCTCTGCCTCTAGCAGCTCCCTGTTGTTGTTTTTTTTGCTCAGCTTTTTGCTGTTGTGCTGGCTCTGTCTC